AACGATACTGGCAAATACAGTTAGTGAAACGGAATCCTTGGTGCATCGAAGGTCAGCGGACCGACAATTTCTATTGTCGATGGTAACGGAATGCAAACTAAAACCCTGAGGAATGAAGCCCGTACTGCATTCTGAACGCGTGCGAATACTATTGCAATGAACGAAAAAAATGCGTGCAAGTCAGACCTTAGAGAACATGTCCGGAAAACGGGCTTTTCTCTACAAGAACAGGATGTGGCTCTTTGAAAAAGAATGCGCAACCAACAAAAAGAGACTGGATGCGTCTTGCCGCCAGGAAACTACTTAAACAGCAACACAGACGAAAAGTTCGCCTTCCTGCTCCAAACGTCAGAACAACTGCGAATGACAAAAAGAACTTCCCAAGCCAACTCACCTACATTTCAGACGGCCGATAAAACACGGGCCAAAACGTCGGTACTGGCTAATATTACGATTGACCAAACTGTTAGCGTTGCATATAAATAAACCATATTCTATGTTGTCTTCAGCAAATTAAAGGGAACGATACTCAATGTATATAAGACTAGTACTGCGATACAGCTATACTCTCTGAGAGGAACAGCAGCCTTCCAATAATATCAGCTTTCATAAGCATCATTAATGCATGACTAAGAGAAGTTTCACCGTAGATGACCAACAATGAGACCTCAGCTTTGCGACCTTACCATTTTCGCAAATGCACGGCGCCATGTTAATGTCTTGCCGTTCGCAAAACGATACGCACTCACCGCTGCGGCATTCGCCCCTTCGAGAGACACGTTAGTAAACGATCAGCCATAAAAACGCATATTAGAGCTGTTTACTCGTCTAGACAAGGCGTTCCATCCGGCATGAATATCTGGTCTGGGCATTCAGCGCTCTCGCCACTAAAAATCTAAATTAAATGAAACACGGTTCAAAGCACCCAACAGTAGGTGCTGCATTGATCACCGCATGTTGTGCTACGTCATGTATATAAACAAATTTGAATTTTGAACAATAAATTAAATCGACAGCAACATGAGAAGCCACTTGTTACACCTGAAAAAATGTACATATTTTTTTCAAAAATGCGCTTCATAATACAACGCCGGTGTCCCTGTGAGGATAGCTACAATGACCGCGGGATCGAGTGAAAGACAAATCACGGTGGGCTAAATACTCCTGATATGCTGCATTAGCCACGACAGACCTTCAGTACCCGTGAAACGGCTAAACAACAAAACTGTAAGAACTGTGGATATTAACATCTTCCCTCCGAATACAAACCCGAATGGAAGAAGTGGAAGCCATCGTCAACACTGATCCCCAAAAAGCAAGAGAAATTTCTGTGCTGTGTGCTCGTTTAACCTCAGGGTAAGACAGAAGAAAGATCTAGTGCAACAATCCTGATGGATTGATGTTGCTCGTAATCATAATCGTGAGCTAGTTGGATTCGAAAGATGTCTTTGGCTTGTCATGTCTATCATATTGTGAGCCTTACAAAAATTGTCATAAGGCGCTAATTACTACATCATTAAATGAACAATTCCGCTTCAAACGCAGGTCAGCCATTACTGCTTCGTCCATGGCACAACAAGCGGGCTGTATGATCGATTTTTCGGTCCCACATGATGCACGGTCGAATGCATATCTCTGCTAGTTTGGCAACGCGAGTTAACGGTAATTTCTTAATTTACACTTCTAGTACGGACATTTGTGCTTGGGAATAAAATAGAACTGTGCGGCCAGGCCAGCGCTGTGTTATCCTGTTTAATGGCCTTTGTTGATCCTACGCTGCAACGACGGATTATAACACAGGCAGGTTTTGCGGAAACGTTTATTCCCTGATCAGCCCCATTGTTAGACAAGCTACCGAAATCACTGTAAACAATGACTAATATCCTATTTAACTCGGACAAAAAAACGAAGATACTTGATGCGTGTTATCAGAAATTGGACAGAAAACTGAACCTCACGGGTCTTCGAGATCAAAATTCATGAAACCTGGCCTAATAATGTCTTCTGAATTTATAATCATGTCGCATCGCGAAAAAGGAAGCTGAAATTTCATTTTCCAGTCATTTTATTTACACAAGAATAAAGAGCATCACTGCTACATTAATAATATAATTTCCGGGCGGTACTGGTCTTACCTAGGTTTTGAAGGCGCAAGACATACCCAAAAACGATAATTTTTCACATTAGTCATTACGTGGTCATTTTCCGATAAGAAACTAGCGCAATGTTTTCAAGACTGCGTTGATGTGAGAACTTTGAAAAACAAGGTAGCGAATTATAGAAGGAAAGCCTTAAAGAACTGCATAACTCTGCATCATAGTGCAAAATTTTCAACTAAACAACACACTCAGAACAATATATGCATGCTTGGCACATAGTTCAAGAAACCTGCTTCAGAGCAAAAAAGCGCAGTTACTTCCTATCGGTAAATCCATCGGTAAAATTCTGCATAGGGGCTTGTGGACACAAAATGTGCCTCAAAGGATCGAGTCAGAATCGAAGTGTTTCAACATCAACCACCACTGCTTTCTGTTTAGGCACAAGCAAGACAAAGCGATGGCTTACTTAAATTCAGTAAAGCCATCTGTGGCAGAGATGTCGAAGCGTGTACTTCCAAGAAGACAACTCACACAGATGACGTGTCTTTATCAAATGAAGTAACATAAAGGAAGAAAAGCTGGTCGGCGACGAATGGATACGAGCAGAAACGAAGGGCCTTTATTATCAATGCATGAGTGAAAATGGTGAAAAATGACAATGAAGAAAACAGTGAAAAGAATCATCCCTGGACCACAAAGACATTCTGGGTTTCAAGAGAGAGTAAACGGCCCGATCGACCTCCAGATGGATGGCGAGAACATCTGAATCAGTTTGCTGGATCAAGATGGATAAAATTTTAAGAAAACAAGTCTATGAAAAAGTCTTGGAGACTTTGTCACCCAGTAGTGAATCAAAAAAATAGATATGCACTTAGGAATCACCACAGCCAAACGAAAATCCTACAAAATATCAAACGGCGGATACCACTGAAACTCTATCTAGCACATTCCTTTCCGTCATTCCGCACTGTGAGATCGTATCTTCTTAGCATGAGTACAACCCCTGCTTCAATACACAGGTGAAACCTGCACCCTTACTTAACGCAATAGGCCTTTCATATGACTTGCAGGCAGAACCGACTGTCAAGCTCAGAAATACACTCAGAGCCATGCTACAGCGTTGGTTGGCAGTGTGAGCACAATTTCGCATCATTTAATCATACACTTCCTAAAAACCATCCTCTCGTCATTAGTAGGGAGAAAAGTACGGGCAGCGACTAAGGATCGAAGTAAGGAATTTCTAGGCACGATGAAATACGGTGGGACTCGCTATCCATTACCTACAATGACAGTCGTTAAGGTTTGTCTTGAACATCGAACCGGTAAGCCAACGAGGCTCTAGCGTACCATTATAAAATAAAAGTTGGTGGGCATAAGAACCGTTGGGAAGCGGCTGCCACTGTTCAGCCAATCAGCAAATGAGCTCTACCCTGTGGAAGCCAATATAAGCCTCTCGCTCAAAAAGAGACATCTGTTCAAGCAACGCGGCTGTTCTACCGCGCTTTGCGTCTCTCTTGTTCCAAGCAGAGTATAAAAGGACGGCCAACCAGAAGAAGTATGAACTAAAACTACTGCGCCAGGGTTTCGGCCCTTGATTCGCCAACGCGGTAGCCAGAGACATCCTCCTTACTGGCGCAACGGTAAATCTTCGACAACGTGCATATAATGATTATAAATGGTGAGACGTTTCGACAGATTTGGATTTGGACTGACAAGACAAAATGAACCAGACCTACGTGAGTCTACAGGGGCTCAGAGGATCAGATTTATACAGAATACCAAGTTCAACCCAAGGTAAATTCTGAACAGGCGTTTAAACGCTGTTGGCTTGTAGGACAAAACATGAGCAACCCCTGAAAAAATCGTGCACTGCGCGTGATCTATAAAACAAAGCCTGCTGTAAAACCAAGTGGAAGAGTTATCAATAGCGCTATGCATAGGGTTCTCTATAAACGGGGCATTCATTATTACTGGCAGACGTCAGCATTATCAAATTCGAAACATGTGAGGTCGACGCATCACACACTACTGAAAATTCAGACTCATGCAGGAAAGATAAAGGTGGTCACCTTAGTCACCCGAGACAAGTCGAAATTCGAATCGCATACATTTTTACCGCTGTTACCCCAGATCGTGCATATGAAGACCTTACTTGCATTCAGAGTGTTTTTTGCAGCTGTTTAAGTCTGAATGTTGACACAAATTTCCTTTTGGCTTGATTTGGCAATCTTGGGTGCAACAAGGCGAGTTGACAAAGCTGTAGACAAAACGTTAACTGTACCGTAAACAGTTCATGGCAGTTACCTGCACTGCGCCGAAGGTTTAAGTTTACAGTTCGCCGAACAGCATACATCCTCATTGCTTTCGCCGGCAAGTCCAACGTCGCATTCTTCGCCTTCCTCAATGCGCTGGTTTCCGCAGAAAGACGGTTGTGGTTCTGCAAATCAAAGACAACGATCACAAAAGTTTTTTACTTACAAGTAAAAACCAATAACCTGTGAAACAAAGCAAAGACTTCTCAACTAAAACCGCCTTGATGGCCCGTCGGCTACATGGAGAGAAAACCTGAAATCAGCGATAAACGATGCAAAAATCAAGAATACGACTGCATAAAATTTTAATAATTTACTTTGTTATTCGGATCATATCCACTGACTGAGTACAGGTACATCAAGTATGGTCCACCCTCACGGAGTTTCGGCGAGCACTCAGGGCTTGCGGGATCATGAAGGCTTCCCCAGTTATGTCCCAATTCTTAGAAAGAACGCTAGTCATTTGTTCCGATGCAACAAACTTTCTGCTTTTACCGTGGGCCGTCACGAGATCTGCTTCCCGAGTGACAACTGGTCCTCCGTAAAAGCTACGAGCGCTGCTGAGCGCTGTGTTGAAAAACACTGTCTTCCCTTTGACAGATGACGCTGAGCACACATACAACTGTCTGCCAGATCGGGTAAACGAAAAGGCAATATTACGCTTACGAACGCCGCATATTCCGCCGGATGTGGCAGGACGAGGTGACGCTATATAACCGAGCCCTAGTACGCCTCCTTTGAACCCTTGATATGTGAACAAATGTACCAGGCAGTAGTTATCGGAGCCTTGGAGTTCAGAGAAGCGCTGCAACGATAGAAAAATATTACAACGGGTAGAAGCCACGAAGCAACGTTCAGAACATTTACCTGAAGCAAGGTGCCAGCATCCCAGCCGTCGAATTCCATGTTGTAATGCATATTATACACGTTTGCAATTTTCGTAGCGCTGGTGTGCACGAGAATGTTCTTGACCATGAATCCCATGTTCGTGAATCCGACATCTTCTTCGTTGTCTCTCCAAATCGTTTGTGTATAGATCACGTTCACACGATCCATCATCGAAATCTGGACCCTTATATGGTTATCGACAACACTTACACATCATGAGTGACAACTGAATACTAAGTAACGGATGGTGGTGGCCGTGCTTGAAGCGCCGACTCCTTTGTAAAACTTATAGTCTGCGACCAGTTGAAGGCTGCAGCGATTCTTTTTGAATTCCATAGCTTGGGCTTGTCGACGACGGCGGCCCTGCAATGACGATCCACTACTGAAGCCACAAGTCTC